ACTGACACACATATATATATTTTTAATACAATATATATATATATATATATATATATATATATATATATATATATATTATACCACAAATGCAATATGACCTTGTGACTCTCTGGATTAAACATGCTTTAGTGACGGATATATCATATATGTAAGGAAATCTTCTTTGTAATGTACCATGCTGTTTATTTTTTATCTACAATGCTCAAAATCCCAGGGATTCCAGCATTTGAAAGTTTGTTATCAGTTTAGGTTTGTCATAGAGAGACAGCATTTACTTTCTTTATTTGAGGGAAAAAATGATGAATGAGATCTCTTTCATAGCATCAGTTGTTTCTCTAACGAGACTGGAATAGAGCGAGAAAGAAGCATCCTGCTTTCCAGATTTTTATCCTAAAATAACCACTCTTGTCATATCACATGTGTCTCCTCTAATATCAAGTGAGATCTGTCACAAAATGTTCTCAGATTTGTATATACACACAATAAAATAAATAAATAAATACATAAATAAAAATACAAACAAACTTGCAATTTTGCTGTTTCTTTGTAATTATTTTAAGAAATCTGCTGGTAATTTCTGAGTGAAAATTGTGTTAAAATTAATTCATTTTTATGTATTATGGTTTTTGTATCATGGTTAATTTAGTCAACACATACACATGCAAATTCACACAGAATAAAAACTATACATTTTCTCTGTCATGTAGATCAAGGTTTAGGTAATTTTTAATTACCGTATGCCGATTATTTATCTTCTATGATCTTTAATCGTAGCGCTCAGCCTACGTAAGGCATCACATACCAGCCTGGTCTGTTTATACGTAGGTATTAACACGTAACATTTACAAGCACAAAACATACACTTCTGTACGTTTTTATTCATGCTAAAACATACAATTTAGACGTATTTCAACGTTTAAAACGTACAAATCGCTACGTATTTTTTAGCTAAAAAACGTAAAAATATTTACGTATCTTTTATATCATTTAGATATTCGTATCAATGCATTTTTATCATTTTATCAATAAGCGATTTAGATTTTTAGACCCCTTAACCTACCCCCAAACCTAAACCTACCAATTTTATAGCGATATAGAAAGGATATAAAACGCAAATTACCGAAATACGCAGGAAAATAAAAAAAATTGAAACAATGTATCATTAAAATATTTATATTCGCTAATTCCACTCCTACCTATAAACCTAAACATTTCTGTACAGTATAAGAAAAACATGACAGACAGATAAATGCAATTAACGTTACAATCATTTATTTATTGCAAAAATGTCAAAAGCAGTACTAAAAGTAATCCAAATGACGCTGCGTTGCACCCGCAGTCCTCTCTGGCGGAATACAGTAGGTTTGTGTGATCCAGAGCAGAATTTATGTTGTTAATCGCTGAAAATATTATCCAGATAATTTCCCCGATCCACTCACATGACAATCAAAGTAAATGACAAGTAAAGGTTAAACGATTGCAGAAATGTTATTTATTTTAAGGTTTAAAGTGAAGTCGTGTTTAACATTATGTAGGCATATTCTTGGAAACGAGCAGCAGAAATCACAACAAAACGAAATGTTATAATTTCATAAGTAAATGAGTAAACAATTTAATAATGCAATTGAAAACAAGGTAATTCATATGACGACTAAAAACTACTAAAATTAATGCTGCGATTTCAGTATTCATAAGGATTCATTTTTAGGTGTCGTCAATACGTCAGTTTTGTACGTTTAGATGCTGAAAATACATCAGTATTGTACGTTTTAGTGCCTGTAAAAACTTACGTAAATGTACGTTTTATAGAACCACATGTTACGTAAAGTACATACAAATTATCATGAGATCACGTTGCACATACAGTTGTCTATTTAAAATCAATGTGGTGAACAAACAGATGATCACACCACACTATAAATATGTGCCTTTTATGCTTTTATTATTTGCCTTTTTAGAGCACTTTTAGCTGTGCAGTAGCACAGACGTTTACATTAGTTTAGCGGGGAAGGTTCAGAGGTTGCCAGATGTTTTCGTTAAAAAAAATCAACCAAATGTGCATTCAAAGCTAGGCGGAAAACTGCAGGCTTAGAAATACTGTAAGACTTGGCAACACTGAAAGGTCCTGGCAGATCACAGGCCGGATTTTCGCCGATAAGGGTTCAGTGAATCTGAAAATGCACATACTGGAAAAACTGCTACATTTAACGACTTTCTACTTGGGGACCTTGATATAAATGTAGTGGAGTAAAAAGTACGATATTTGTCTTTCAAATGTAGTGAAGTTGAAGTAGCAAGTTTCCAGAAAAAAGAATACTCAAGTAAAGTACAGATACTCAAAAAGTGTACTTAAGTACAATACTCAAGTAAATGTACTTCGTTACTGTCCACCTCTGGTCTTGGGCGCCCAAGTCTGATGCACTTAAGAATCAAAGGCTATCCCATCTGGTTCAATCACCCAGAAGAGCTGCTGCAGCTCAAATCGCTGAAAAACTTAATGCTGGCCATGAGAGAAAGGTGTCAAAACACATAGTGCATTGCAGTTTACTGCACATGGGGCTATATAGGGGCAGACCGGTCAGAGTGCCAATGATGACCCCTGTTTTCCACTGAAAGTACCTACAATGAACACATGAGCGTCAGAACTGGACCATGAAACAACGGAAGAAGGATGCCTGTTTTAATGAATCATGTTGAGATCAGGTAAATGCTTGAGTGTGTGCGTTGTTTACCTGGGAAAGAGATGGCAGCAGGATGAACTATGGGAAGAAGGCAGGCCGGCTCTGAGCAATGTTCTGCTGGGACACCTTGGGACCTGGCATTCATGTGGATGTTAGTTTGACACGCCCTGTACCACCAACCTAAAGATTGCTGCAGACCACATACAGGCCTTTATGGCAATAGTGTTCCCTGATGGCAGAGGCCTCTCTTACAGAATAATACACCCTGCCAAACTGAAAAAATTGTTCAGGAACATGACAAAGAGCTCAGCGTGTTGCCCTGGCCTCAATATTCCCCAGATCTCAATCTCGTTATGTATCTTTGGGATGTGCTGGACCAACAAATCCAATCTATGGAGGCCACCTCACAACTTGCAGGACTTAAAGGATCTACTGCTAATGTCTTGGTGTCCACAGGACACAACAGGACACATTCAGAGGTCTTGTGGCATCTATGGCTTAAAGCATCAAAGCTATTTTGGCAGCACAAGGGGGACCTACACAATATTAGGTAGGTGGTTTTAATGTTCTGGCTGTTTAGTGTATAACTCAACACTTGTATTATATGTCAATCATTGTATACTTTTGTATAATTTTTTTTATTTTTCCTGAGGGATTATTAGGCTAAATATCTGAGACAAAGTTAATGCAAGGTGTCCTGAGCTATAGAAGAGCAACCAAATATACAAGTAACGTCAACCCTCTGTTGCTTTATCATTTTAATAATTTCATTGCCATCGAAAAAGTGCAAATAAATTAATCAATGAAAAAGCAATTATAATTACTATGCACTTTGTTATTGTGTCTTACATGAAAGTGCGTTTGCATCGAATGCAGCATCCATAGCAGGAGTCCATCTCTGATATTTTCTTTAGAAGAGGATTTTGGATCAAGTCTACTTGAATGAGGGATGATTTACAGCAGTGGGGAAAGCACTCAGGGCCTTGTCGGATGTTGTGTAACACATACAAATAGCCATGCCAAACACTCATTCATTTGATTGGCCTTCACCATGAAGAATAAAAGCCACCTGGCTCATTTTGTTTTAAAAAAGAAAAATGCTAATGTTGTGGTGACTCGCTTGCTGGATGCTCGTTTTTACCCGTTGGATCCATTTATGTTTGTATAAACGGTTATTACATTGAAAGGAAGACAACTTTTCATTGTGCATGTTAAATTCAAAGTGAGTGAAAGTTAGTTACTTGGAGGCGATAAACACAATGAATGCCTGAGTCAGTGAGAGGCTGATTTGGTTTGACGCCTTGCACACTTCCATTAAGACAATAGAATGCAATGTTTTAGCAAGGAACAATGTCTCTGCCATTCATCAGGAGATGTGTTTAGGTAGAGCAGAAGAGAGTGGAGCAGGGATCAGTGAAGACCGCAGCAGAGAGTTAAGAGTTATTTGACAGGGTGACTTGCATTTGACTAATGAAATGAACCGTGAGTTGTACACCAGCTGTGCTCAGTTGGTGATGCTAGCGAGAGTAATGTGTTTTTCAGCTGGAATTGGGCCTATCCTATTGTGAAGAATACATTACAGTTCATGACACCCGTGGGATGCTGGAGTGTTTAGCTGAGATACAACCATCATGCAGCTGCCTGGTGTTAGTGCACTTGAATAAAACAAAAACAAAGTGGCTTTGAGATGTAAGAACCTAAAGAACTATTTTTTTTTTTTAAAGAAACAACTTTTATTTCAACTGTGTTTGCAACATACCAATGTCTTTTTTTTTTCTTTTTACATTTTATAAATGAATGTCTTATCTTGACCACCATACCTTTAATAAAAATAAACATTATTAGAGGTGACTAACAACAACTATGGTAACATGTGCCTTATTTGATCAAAATATATAAGGTTGCATTTTTATACATTATGAGACAAAAAAGCTTGAGAACTCAGAAGTCAGATGTGAGGGAACTGAATACACAGTTTTACACACAGTCTTATAGAAAGAACTGACATGAGAGAGCGCCTTCTTTCACATTAATGAAATGAAAAAAATGAGACAGCAGAACAGTTCATGCAAACGGTTGATTCAATTATCAAAAAGCAAATGAAAAAAAAAAAATGATGCAAACTCAAAAGACCAAGTTGTTTATGATTCAATATCAGGTACTTACTATAATAACAATGATACAATTAAAACCGCGGTGAACTGGAAAAAAAAGGAAAACAGAAAAAATGAAATAAAAAAACAAAACAGAAATAATAATAATAATAATAATAATAATAATAATAATAAAAAACTGGATATAAAAAATAAACAACAATAATAATAAATTAAGAGAGCCATGCATTTAGCAAGGCAAACAGTAGTATTTTAAACTTGGATGCAGCGTTTATGGATGTCAGTCATGTGTATGAAGCTCTAATTCACATAATTTTTTGTTGTTTTTCATCATGCTTCTTTTAGAATCCATTTTACATCCAAATCTGAGACAGATCTTCTACACAAGTCCCAGAAAAGAACATGGCCTTCTCTTTATTACTCAGTTTTTTTTCTTCTTCTGATATTTTCTCCGAAGTCATATCCCATTCCTCTCTCTGATGTGCCATAATGGTAGATATATTTATATATATATTTATATATACGTAGTTATATTTTCCCTTTGTCGTTTGATACATAAAGTGAAATCATTGCGAGTTGTTTGGCTGTGGTCTCTTAGTAGGCAAACAGGAAGGGGAGGAGCTTATGTAGGATCAGCAGAGTGACGTAAAGGAGTGGCTCAGTGGTTGCCATGGCTCCGGAACCTGCACAAAAAAAGAAAAAAAAAACAGTGAGCCCAGAGAGAGAGACAGACATGCTTGTTAGATCACAGTGCACGCTCAAATAAAATAAATATCATCAGTTTTTGTTTTTTCAAATATTCATTAACCAAGAACATTAGCATTAGTTTGGAAAACGGAGCATTTTCATTGCTTTTAGTCTGAGGAAATGTATTGTATCCAAATCTGATTCAGCATGTGAACCAAATTTCACGTTATTAAAGTCCTTCAAATGGCTCTTTCATAATGACTGCTCAAAAATTGACAACTGTCAGCTCTCGTGGAGATGTAAAAAAAAAAAAAAAAAAAAAAAAAAAAAAAAAAAAAAAAAAAAGGCACAGATGGAAAGGAGAGCCCTATAGGGCCTCAATGTAAGCTACATGCCCTTGTGCAGAAACTACATGACATTTCCTCTCTGTGACTGACAGCAAAACAGCAGCCCACAGGCATTTTGAGTGCTAGCTAACAACGCCACAGCAGTATACAGCAGAAACAGATTGTCACAAGAACGCACTTACACAAACACAAGAAAATGCCAGAAGGATACATTTTGATCACACATCTATCCAATATAGACATGTTCGCAAGACATAAACACACTGGTAATGATTCATTGCTTAACGGGGCTGCAGCGCTGCTGACTTTTAGAGTGTGAAACGGCCGTCTGTTTTCTACAGTTCTGATTTTCCCATGGCCATTTCTCACAGAGCTCCTTTACTCTTACTCTCCCGAAGAGATTAGCATGGCGTGCCAGGGCACCCCGTGACAGGAACAGCAGCTAGCACGCCATCACACCAGCTCTAGAAGCATGTCTTACAGTGGGCTCCAGGAGCGTGTCCATATGTCTTAAGAAGCCACATTTATTTTGCTTCCTCTCTTCTATCATCATTATTGCAGAGGGAAAAGAATGGTGTTGTACTCGTGCATGGTTGGTTGATTTGGTGCAGGGTGGTTGTAAAACGGTGTGATTCAATTTCATGCTCTTTCTGCAAAGTCAAATACTACAGCAGGGCTAACTCTTGATTTGACACAAAGAAACATTCAGCTTTTCTGTCTGAATTACTGAGACATCCCCTTTCGAAAATTAACCATGTTTTTACTACAAATAAAACCAAAAAACATGGTTACTACAGTTATAACCACAAATGAACCTTGGTTTTGCTACACCATGATATTTGTAGTAAAACTGTGGTTATACAAATGGTAGTTAATACACACACACAACAACAAAAAAACAGGGTAAATACACTTTTACTATAATAAAACCATTTGCACCTTTCTGACCAAGATACTTCACCAGCATGTGATATTTTAAATGCTTCAAAACAGTAAATCATTTTGCAAAGCAATTTATTCAGTTGATTCAAACTTTCGAAAAACTCCCATCACTACCACTTCCAAAGCTTGCAGTCATATCATGTTAGCTTACCTGAGCATAACCGACTTCCATCCACTCCTTCTATTTCACACAGATCTATCATTCAAAACATGGATTGCTGGAATAACTTGTGGTGTAACAAATGACATCAGTGGTGAGGAAAGAGTTAAAAACTGATATATTGAAGGTATAGTAGGCCTGAAACCTTAGGATCTTCCATAAATCTTCCTTCAAAATGTCACTCTGCATGCAAAGAAAATCTCTTACTAAGGGATATGATAGATGCACACTAAACAACGGTAAGTGAAAACACGAACAGACGTGCAAATCAGCTAAAATGGCAAAGTCATGACCCTGACTGCTTTGGAAATAATTACAGTCAGCATCGACGCAGAGGGCTTCTGTGTCCAGCTCATTACTCACATGTCATCAGTAATCTCCGCCTCTTCCTCATTTAACCCTCTAGAAAAGAACGTTAATCTGTCTGTTCGCTTAATAACATATTTAATGAACACACCCCAGTGATCAGGGTCAGTGCCACTTTTAATAATATTTGTATAACCTTTGAGGGATTATGGTCCTCATACAGTGTGTAGAAGGACATATAATAATGGGAAAGGTAAATTGTATCCCCACAAAAACCCATGTTGTTTGTTTAATAATTCATGCTGGTCCAATAAAGGCAAATTATCTGAATCGTTTAGTTCTGCTGAATTGAATATTAAGGATATTTAAAAAATATGTGAATTTAGGCACGTCCTCAGCAGACTGAATGCACGCATGAATATTTAGTCTCTAACATTCATTTCTGGGTCATTTGTTCCCATTGCTCCTTTTCTCACTCTTTTAACTATATGCTACATGAAGCATCCTGCCTCAGGTCTTGCCACAACCTTGAGATTTCATTTTTTATGTGGACTAGTCACTGTAAGAAGCAGATTTTTCTTAACTTTCCCTGTTCTTAAATGTATAGGCTCACAGCGATATTCACTTCCATCCAGCCCTCGGGCCAAGTAGAAATGACCTGACATTCTGCATTAGTGTCCCCTGATGCAATGCAGGGAACATGGTTATCTTAATGATGGCAAATCATCCTGATGTATGTGCAGCCCACTTCTAAATCATTTTATATTGGTGATAACATCAGTATTATAACTGCAGTGTTCTTGCTACATTACAGAATTTTTGAAAATAAGTCACATGTCACATTTTGCTTTTATCAGTTGTTTTCACTCCCTTCTGATCTCAGCAGGTGTTCTTAAGTGGAGCTATAATGGCCCTTGAGGGCCCACTGGGAGATCAGAAGCAATGGACTCTAAAGATAAAGGATTAGAGGGTTACTGTGTGATCATATCTGTTGAGCTGAGGCCATGTTCCTCTCCCTCTGAGGGATAATGGAGTTTCAGCAGCACATTCTACACACCTCAAAATCCAATTCACTATGGATTGTTGAAAATGTGCTTTATAAGCTACATGCATACATTGGGCTGCCCCAGCATGCCTGTGAATGCAGAGGCTGATGTAATAAATCAATGAACTGCAAATGATTTTTCGTTTCAAGTACTTAAGATGCTGATGGATCTATAATGAGTTATAATATGAAAACCATGGTCCAAAATGGCATTGATTATGATATCTTCACATACAGTAAGCCTATGAAAAAAAGAAAGAAACAAACAAACAAAAAATTGATAACGGAAAAGACAAGGAAGGTGACACTTGTTCCCTCTGGACAAGAGCAGAGCTTCAGTGAACAAAAGGGTTTAAGGCTGAATGGCTGAAAAAGAGGCTAAGCCAACACGTTCAGAATACATACTGATAATTTTTAGCCATTTTACATTTATGAAAAGACACCCAAACAATATGTTTTTGCTTAAATGTTTTTGGCAGCAGCTATTTACATTTATATCTAACCAGATGGAATATAGTATGGAATTGAGTTTTTGTTCCTACAATGATGAGCAATATCTTTCGGTCAGCTTTTTGGTTACTATTTCTGTGACATAGCTCCAGGTGGCCACACCCACACCATACATTTACTGGACTGAAGAAGTGCTCCAAGTGTATATTAAACATTAAAACATGGATGTGTTCTTAGTTTTACTCTTTTCAGCTGGAGCGCTTACTGACAGAAAACGGCTTGGTTTGAAAGTGACTTCTGTGTGAGCTGTGCTTCACAGATTGCTATACTATTGGCAACTGACAATGGACCTCTTTTGCCCACAAAATTTCACCAATGTTAACACATGATTGTTCTGGAACGTGTTCTGACAAAGCCAACCAAAACAAGCCACGTAACATGGGTTCATTTATTCAATAGAATTCACAACGTTCCCGTGAAAGAAATGTAGAGTGTGACGGAATAAGAGGGGAGTGTCTCGACGAAATAAAACTGGTCATAGGAGACCAGATGGAAACAGTAATGCATCCACCTGACCACATGTGTTTGGATCATCTAAAATACTTAATACTAGGTGGAAACAGGGCCTGATAGAAGGCACAAACTGTCCTGATTGGCTATTTTGTGATCGACTGCAATGTATTACCATTTTTGCATTTGGTGTGGATGGACTAATTGCTTCCAATGGAATATAGTCATGTTACACATGGTTAGTGCACGGTGTAAGTGTAAAACTAAGTAAGATGCAAAAGATGCAACAGTAGTAAATAATGGCAAATACTGTGTAGCAGCAAATAGCATCTTGTTTACACTACGTGCAATAGTGATACATGCTATCAATTCAGGTGTAAATAGAAATAACATTCTATTTAAATCTTTAGGGATTGTCTGAGTTGTGATGGGTGGGGTTAGTGAAAACAGTCTTTGATTGAAATAGCTGACAACGAGTCATGAAGCTGTCTTATTTTTCTCTAGATTGGCCATTTATTCTGTCACCTCCTATTTTTAAACCTCTTTCTACACCGATTTTAGCCAGCTATCATATATCTATTATTCATGCTCTAATCCTTCATGTTCAGGCTTACCTTCATCACTCTCTCTCGCTTTCTCTCTCTTGCTGTCTATGTGAGTTATCTAGCCAAACAAAAACTAGATTGAGACAATGTTCCCTTGATTTCCCAAGTGGAGTCAGCAGGTACACAGCTAAACACAGTGTCCCAACATGACAGAAGCTTAGATGAAACAATTAACACTCGCCTAAGAGTGCTGAAGTGCTTCCCACACAGTGACAATGCACAAACATTTCCAGTTAAAACATGTCTGTGGCAAGGGGGTCTGCAGCTGGATGAGACTCCTCAGGTAAGTGTGAAAGCTGTCCAGCAGCACTAAACACTGGGCTTCTCCCCTCAAGCATGCAATCAGCCCACCATCACAACCCCCTGTGCTCGCTCTCAAGGGGGAACGCAATTTGATAACAGGTGTTTTAAGTTTGCAAAATGTGTGGGAGGCAAATAATGTGCTTGAAAAATAAGTTAAACTGAACCGGAATGACACACATGTGTTCTGTAGAATCATCATGCATGCAAAATAACGTGATTGATGTCTGAGAGCGTTAGATCAAGAGGGAACGAGAAAACACACTCACACACAAACAGAGATTAGATTAAAACAGCTGTGCAGCTGGAGTGATATAAACTTATCAAGGGCGCCAAGGCCACCAGAGGTGGCTTTAAGCTTTGTGAGTAGAGATTTCATAAGCCAGTTTGTGCTTCTTCTCTTCTTTTTCTTTCTCTTTCTCTGTTTGTCTTCATTTTGTTTCTTTTTGTCTTACTCAAACTCTGCCAAAATGAAAGGATAGTTCATCCAAACAATGAAAACTCTGTCATCATTTGCTCACTCTCATGTCATTCCAAAGCTACATGACTTCCATTCTTCTGTGACACACACACACACACACAGATACATATTTTTTCCAGCTGTTTTGTCCATGCAATGAAAGTGAAAATACAAAACTACAATTACTTTGGTCCAAAAAAATAGTTTGTTTGTTACACAGAAGAAAGAAAGTCATATAAAGTCAATAAATTTCTCATGTTTTCACCCCCTCTCCTGCCCAATCCCTCTTTCTGATGTAAATAGCCAAATTTAAGGGTAAATCTTAAAATTAAGTTGTGTAATTTGATTATTCAAACCTGCTAAATCTTTGTAAAACAATTTTAACATCAATTTAACCTAAGGGCAACCACAAGGAACAATGGCATTAATATGAAATTAGCTTGTGAATTAATTCAACAAACTGTATGCTGGGACAATGCCTTATTCCAGCAAGCATTACCACCAATGGCATTTAATTATAAAGCATGTCTACAAAAACACACATTTTAATGCTTGACGCTCTCATGAGAGTAGCGATCTGATAGAAACTGTTCCTTAGAGACTTGCGTTTTTTGTAAACGTATTGTTCTTGGGCCTGGTGGTCATCTGTGGTCATTTTCAATAGCACAATGAGTTAATCTGTTATTTCCAGTAAGGACAGACATGCCACCCAGCCCTGCTGGGAAAAAAATAACAAAAAAAACGATGTGAAAGCAGCAAGAGGCAACTCGATGCACCTGACTGCGTATAGAAGGCCAAGCTTATCAGCTCCTGCCCGTGGCATTCCTTTAATATTAATTGTTTCTGCCACTCAATGAGATGACATTGTGCAAAAGTGACAGATGCATGTTTCCAAAAGAGGAGTTGTGTGTATGAGAGAGAAAGAGAGTGAGAGAGAGTGTGAGCAGCGAGGGGTGAATTTTCTTTCTCTCCTCAAAAGCTGATAGTGTGGTCAGAACTGAAAGGTGCAATCCTTCAAATGTGGCAGATGACTCTTTAACCTTCTCACTCCGATGACAAAAACAGAGCTCTTAACCAAAAAGGGAAAAAGAGACAGACAAAATTTATTTGAGATCTTTCTATCAACGTTAAATGTGCCAAAGCATTTACTGACACATGACAGAGTGACTAGCGCTGGTTGGCTGGTTCATTTGAATCAATTTGCCAGACCCTGTGAATGACAGGCATACAACTCCCTTCCTACATTCGGATGTGTAATGCGGGCTCTCTGTCATAATAATTGCAAAGGTAGCCCATAAACAACAACAACAACAAAAAAGTCTAAAAACTTACACAAATTATCAATTAATGTAAAACGAGGGAGAAACTAGCACGGAAGATTGGAAACCCTGGCTTGTATTTCTAGCAAAGGTAAATTACCTAAATATACAATTTAAAAAAAATAAATAAATACGGTTAATTAATGATTTTGTATGACAAGCCAAAATTTAACCTCATCTAAAGAGAGAACAATAAAGCATGGGGCAGAAGAATACATAGAGAGATAAAGGGAAATAAAGCCTGGAATGCAATACTGTGGAGGATCAGTGCACTGGCCCTCTTAATGTCCGACATGCTCGCCAAATGGCTGCCTCCATGTCTGGCTGCACTAAAGATAGGGCTGGCTGAGCATGTTGGCACTCATACAGTCACTCACACACACAAACATTGATGTATATATACACAGGGTTGTCATGGTCCCAAAGGTCAAAAGCATCTTCATCAAGAAAGAATTGCATTCCAAATAAAAAAAGAAAGCAAAATAAACATTTGACAATTTAATTTTGTTTGCACAGGGAACTTTGTTGTAGCCTGTTTAAAAGCATGAATTATTATTATTATTATTATATTTTTTTAATCAAATATTGTCAAATATACAAGCACAAGAACCCTAATTTGGTACAGTTTAGAATAATTTGTCTGAAGAGTGTACATTAAATGTAAATTAAAGTTACATATAATAGGAATAGTTTGCTTGATTGTAAGGATTGTAAGGAAACATAAGTATTTATAGCTTTGTTATCAGAACCTAAAATTGAACTTAATTTCCCATAAGAAGAAGTGAAATGTTACAACAAACAAAACAGGATGAATAGGCATCTTATCTTGTATCTTAGACATCTTATCTTGCTCACCACTGAAGTCCAAGTACATACTGCTGACAGGGGTCTCTCATGAGACTTCACTGGGTAGTTACCTTCCACTATAACTGTAAACCTCACTGTATAGTCCACAGTGTTTAGGAGTCACTGCAGGATAATGCATCCCTGCCACAAACAAACTCTTCTGGCTCAGCCAGAGACTTCATGTAATCGCCCCTCTGTTGTCTTCAGGAATCACTCCCGCAGTGACAGAAGCCCGAGTCAGAACACACCCAACCCTCTAAATCCCCAATGAAGTCCCCAATAAATAGAGGCCCTGACCTTGAGGCAAGAGTTAAAGAGACAAGGTGATATCGTGATAACCTCTCTGTCACATTGCATAACGAGACAAGAAGGGTCGAGACTCTGCACTGAGGCTGGACAGATCGCAATGGCACTTCCTGCTTAAGACAGACATGGTGTCACCTACAGCTTTTATCTCTTGCATTTTCACTTACACAGCATAGAGTGCATGATAAATAAAACATCACACACCGAAAACAGACAATTTTCAACTGCCCACTGAGCAGACAGAGATTTTATATGGCACGGTGACAAATTTAACCTTCCAGCAATCGTGATTATTCTGAGATGTGCTTCACTGAATGGTGTGTGCATGGGTCACAACAACAGCCTACACGGTGGTGACCAAATGTCCCCACCGTGATAGTAAATCCTGAAATTACCAATTTTGAGGGGTGCAGCCAACTGTGCCCAAGAGGAAAACGGCTTAATAAACATAATAAATAATGCCTTATTATGCAATAAATGCAAAGAGTGTTCTGTGAGGGTTAGGGTAAGGACTAAGAGAAATAAAATGTTAGCTCACTATAAAAACAAAAAAAAGTCAATGGAACGTCCCACTATGATAGAAAAGCAATGTGCCTACAGGTTTTGCCTACTCCAAATATCCCCACAGGAATAATAAAATCTGAAATTGCCTACATTGTGGAGGCCAGCCTATGGTCCACATGTGAAAAACAGCCTAATAAACATACTAAATGAATGAGAGTAGTGAAATTAAACTTGCTTGAGGTTTAGGGGCAGAGCAACACAAATGAATAGCCTACTGCCATAACACACACATATACATTTTGAAAACATAGACACCTCTCTGTTGGAAGGTATTTCAAAAACAAAATATGCTTACTCATATTATAAGGACAATATCAGAATGAAATGCCTAAACTGAATATATAAGTAATTAAATAAACATAAACATAATTTCAATATGAGCCACATTCTATAGTAGGCTGCACACCAAGAATGTCTACGTCCTGGCTTCAAACATTAAGTCCATGAAATAAATAAATAAATAAATAAATAAGTGAATAAACAAAAGCACAATCAAACACTGAACGCCTGATTATTTTCCCCTCTAGACCGCTCGGTGTCGCTGTTGCACTATCACTCACCGGATCCGTGTTGTTGTCTCAGGATAGATGAATTGCCCGGCCGAGGCGAAGCTGACGACTTGACTACAGAGCCCGTCGTAGACGTTGAAGGAGGAGCGGGTCCTATTCCAACCGGCGGAGGCACGCGGGGTTTCCCCTTACCCTGGCCCGGCTCAGAAGTGGCCCGTCCACCCGTCGCTGTGTTGCTGTTCCTCAGTGGCCATCGGTTCTGGATGTGAGATACGGCCTCCTCGGCCAGCATTCCCTCGCGCGATGTCACGCGCAGAGTGGCCTGCACCTTGTATTCCTGAGTCTCATCAGAGTACAAGTCCAAAACCCGACACTCATACACTCCCTCGTCCTCCTTCCGCACACCCGATAGGCTGAGCTTGTGGGAAATGGCGTTGCCTTGGACCCTCACCGTCTGCTCTCGAAGAGACATAAATGACATGTAGTTTTAGCAGCCATTATTATTCGTATTATTTACTAGGCTGCTAAACAAAACATGTCCGAATTATCGGGCGTGCGGATGGTTAGTTGGAGAGTCTTCCAAATTCGCGTTCGCCGGGGGAGGTAACCATAGCAACAGTACGCACAAGAACTTTGCGTTAGGAACAGCTTCGAACGCTTCATTTGCGAAACATAAGTAGCCGTCTGTCATTGTTTATTACTGTATTACTGATTCACATCTCACACGCAGGCTGTAGCTTATCAAAAGTAGCCTTCTAGTCGTAAGCAGTGTGATTTCTGCGAGTCCAACCTCACTGAGTCCCAAGAATTACCTATAGAACTAGAATTTGAATATAACTTTTTATAGAACTAGAGTTTTATTATGATTACTGCTATTGATAGTTTAATAGTTGACCCCTCTGAAAACCATTATAATGCATAGCAGCTACTGAAAGTTTTTTAAAAGTTTTATTACCAGCTGAAATTTCACAAAGTTAGACTGCGGACAACAGCAAATAGGCTAAGTCAGATGTGTAGCCTATACGAAGTTATTTATTTATTTACTTGACCTTTATGAAAACGGAAGTACGTTCCCCCCTAAAGTTTTGAAAACAAATTCAGAGAAACGTCTATTTTTATTCATTCTTAAAAAACAAAAAAACAAACAAACAAAAAAAAACATATCAGCTGAATCAGTCATGTCAACAGGTGCTCATTCTCTCTAGTTTAGTACACACACTTTGAGCACTTTTGAGGAACAAATGTCATAATAGCGTTATTTTATTAATTACTAGCCTAATTATTTTCATACTTAAATATATTCGGGCTTTTTTCGTCAAGCGAGATTCTGATTCTATTAAACATCACAAAAATGTTATGAATAAAAATACGGTTAGTGTAAATACGGATTGTAATACTCACACTTATTTTCGTAGCGTCCCGGTGGGCAACCTGTAATAGATCACATCCATAACAACGTATTACTTTTACTATCCATATGCATATAATAAAAGGTTGAATATGCATAATACTAATAAGAAATAAATAAATACATAAAAACAGTGAAACTTATACAACTACAATGCCGTGATTTCCCATGAGTTAAAAAAAGGAAAGCTAACAGAATCCTAACAGACTGCTCGTGCTGAATAAATACGCAACATGGGAGATACTAAAATCTGTTCAAGTTTACTCACCATTTACACAGAATAGCAGGGGCGCATTCAGAATGAAATAATAAAGGACGCTGTGGAGTCCCAGTTTTTCCATGTCATAAATAAGGTGGTCAGATTGGAGAACAAGTGGTAGCGGTCATTTGACCTGGGGATACAGGTTTTATTTCATTGGCATCTCCATAACTTCGTCTCATCCGGGTTTCTTCTTTATAATATATAGTTTCTTCCCCGAAATGTAGAATAAAAGGACTGAAATCTCCAAAGAAGATACTCCAAAACGATGCTGCGTCAGTCAAACAAAATGTAAAATCCAATGTTGCGGACCAGAAAACCCACTCTGTTGGGAAAACTGCGTGAAAAGTGTTATTCTCTTGAATAAGTATCCTTTGCCCCTAAATAATCCTCTGTTCCTCCGTTTGCTTCCTATCAAGATAAAACTTGCTTTCAACAGTAGGAAATCTGCTCACTTTGGTCTCCATAAAAAGAGAAAAAATCCGCGATTCGCTTCCACCACCCATCACAAAACAATCCTGTGTCTAAACACGCAAACCCCCAAAAAAACAAACCAAAAAAAAAACCCAACGTCGGAGGACAAGAGATTCCCTCGACGTTTTTAAGCAGCAGTTAAGCACCCAAACGAAGAAGCGGCATCAGTGGATCATTCCAGCTCGCGCCACCGGAACCCTCTGCTTTGTGTGTGAGCTCGTGAGCAGCGAGGAGGCGCTTTGGCATTTCCAGACCACTGACAGACTGACGGGGTTTGGGAGCAAACTAACCGTCTCTGTCTCTCAAATCAGCATACGGCTCAACCAATAAGAGGAAACCCGTACCAGCGGACGTGCAAAGCAAATCACTGAAAATAAAAAAGCGCTTCGGCGATTCATGCGGTTTACTCTGCGAGAGCAACAGGCGACCATTAAAGTAGCAGGCGTCGCGTATAATGACCAGAACTATTTCACTTGAATATGAAAGTCGGATAGCTCACTCTTAATCTCTCTCTGTCCCATCATTTGCTTCTGGTAATAATACCATCGAGGTAATCTGCGTTTCTTCTCCTCCCTGTTGGAAAATCCAGATCAAGTAACTGTTTTGGAACATGCTGGTTTCTAGCTGGTCTAAGATGGTCATTTAGCTACCCAGATAGCCCACGTATGTCTGCAAGATGTCTGTTAAAGATCACTTCCTCTGGAAAGCATCTGCTGTGCACACAAATCTGAGAGACATGGTTAAGATGTCAGTTTTACATACATTTCTTCTCCTCCCTGTTGGAAAATCCAGATCAAGTAACTGTTTTGGAACATGCTGGTTTCTAGCTGGTCTAAGATGGTCATTTAGCTACCCAGATAGCCCACGTATGTCTGCAAGATGTCTGTTAAAGATCACTTCCTCTGGAAAGCATCTGCTGTGCACACAAATCTGAGAGACATCGTTAAGATGTCAGTTTTACATACATTTGTCTTTAAATCATCTTAAAGACATTTTCTAAATGTCTATTTGACATCTGATAGGAAACGTCCTATAGACTGATTTTGAAGCAGATGAGCAAACACTCTAAATACATACGTCTTGCAGATGTAAATGCAGACGTCAAATAGACATCTCTGTGATGTATACGTGTGCTATCAGGGTATAGAGCAAGTTGGTAGATCATCTTGGATCAGGAACACACAAGCTACCATTTGGTCTAACTGATTTTTGGGACATGGTCAGCTGTCCTGCTAGCACCAGCTAATGACCATTTTAGAGCAGACACCCCTACTACAGTATGTTCCAAAACATACAATGATAAACTGAAATACAATGAAAACTAAATATCGGCACACCTGTACTTCACAGGATTGCAGGAAGCAAGGGTTCGATCTTCAGCCTTTTCAGCTCTTATTCTATGAATATGAACACAATTATAGTGGTTATTATTAGTGTTCAGTGCCTAGAGAGATTCTGCATAAGCAGGGATACTGTTTTGGGAAATAAGCTGTGCAGGTGTCTGTTGGCCTTGGTTTGGATATCTAGAGAGCTAAATCAAATCTAAATAAAAAATTGCCAAATATCACCTGATATATTGGTCAATAATAATAATAATAACAACAACAACAACAATAACAACTATTATTATAAGTATTAGTAGTATGACTTCTATGTAAAGGTCATTAAATGGATAGTTCACCCAAAAAAAGAAAATTACCCCATGATTTATTCACCCTCAAGCCATCCTAGGTGTTATATATATATATATATATATATTTATTTAACAAATCCTCGTTTTGTACTTCTAATTCATGACCATTGTTTTATTTCCTCTCTCCTCTGTTAATGATAAAGTTTTAAATATGGATATTTATCTTACACAAATGCATTGATTCACTTCAGGGGGCCTTTATTAACCCCCAGAGCCGTGTGGAGTACTTTTTATGATGGATGGATGCACTTTATTTTGCTTCAAAATCTTGATGACCATTCACTGCCATTATAAAGGACCATTTTAGAGCAGACACCCCTACTACAGTATGTTCCAAAACATACAATGATAAACTGAAATACAATGAAAACTAAATATCGGCACACCTGTACTTCACAGGATTGCAGGAAGCAAGGGTTCGATCTTCAGCCTTTTCAGCTCTTATTCTATGAATATGAACACAATTATAGTGGTTATTATTAGTGTTCAGTGCCTAGAGAGATTCTGCATAAGCAGGGATACTGTTTTGGGAAATAAGCTGTGCAGGTGTCTGTTGGCCTTGGTTTGGATATCTAGAGAGCTAAATCAAATCTAAATAAAAAATTGCCAAATATCACCTGATATATTGGTCAATAATAATAATAATAACAACAACAACAACAATAACAACTATTATTATAAGTATTAGTAGTATGACTTCTATGTAAAGGTCATTAAATGGATAGTTCACCCAAAAAAAGAAAATTACCCCATGATTTATTCACCCTCAAGCCATCCTAGGTGTATATGACTTTCTTCTTTCAGACAAATACAGTCAGAGTTATAGTAAAAAATGCCCTGGCTCTTCGAAGCTTTATAATGGCAGTGAATGAGGGTCAAGATTTTGAAGCCAAATAAACAGCATCCATCCATCCATAATAAAAAAGTTCTCCCCACGGCTCCAGGGGTTAATGAAGGCCTTCTGAAGTTAATAGATTTGTGTAAGAAAAATATCCACATGTGAAACGTTATAAACCTTAATCTCTAGCCTCTGCTAACTGTTGAACGTGTGTTCACAAGAGAGGGGCATTCCAGGTGATGACGTGATGACGTAATATGCTAGTCTCACGAGAACCAAGTTTTGTTTAAAGCAAAGGAAAACTCTTGGCTTATATCGAAATTAAATATGGATATTTATCTTACACAAATGCATTGATTCACTTCAGGGGGCCTTTATTAACCCCCAGAGCCGTGTGGAGTACTTTTTATGATGGATGGATGCACTTTATTTTGCTTCAAAATCTTGATGACCATTCACTGCCATTATAAAGCTTGGAAGAGCCAGGGCATTTTTTAATATAACACAGATAGTATTTGTCTGAAAGAAGAAAGTCATATACACATAGGATGGCTTGAGGTTGAGTAAATCATGGGGTGATTTTCATTTTTGGCTGAACTATCCCTTTAAGACATTAGCAAGATCTTTGTAGATCCATATTCTAATACTATAAGATGTGTAGTACAAGACAAATACAAACATATTTATTCACATGGAATTGAAGGATGTGTCACCATATCTGACCACTAATCCAGCATTGTCCCTGGCTTGTGCAGAAGAGTGCTTCTCTGGCTGAATCCTAAAACAGCCCTCCCTCCCAGCTGCCTGTCTGCCAATAATGTAGCACTTGTTCACCCTTACACTCCCATTAGCACTTCACCAACACGGAAGAGAGAAACTGAGAGAGAAAGAAAAAGAGATGAAGGCAGAAATGGGGTGAGGACATTATTGAAATTAGGGGTTTGCCCATTATTGATGTATTGGATGCTCAAGAGATGATGGTCAGAAAGAGAATGTAAGAGTGCTCAATGTGATTGAAAAACAAGATGAGAAAGTATACGAGATTGAGAGGGAGAAATCGAGAGAAAGTAAGAGGCTGAGTATCAGAGAGAGAGAGGGACTGAACAGTAATCTGTCCTTCTGTTGTAGGTAGATGCTCATCAGTCAAGTACTTTGATAGCATTTCCCAATATATCTTATAAGAGTCAGATTTCTATTGTTAAACCATGTAGCACGGCTGATGTTTCTGATTTCCTTTTCCTGTACATTCCATCATACTGCTCTCCTCATTTTTGTATTTTTGTAAAGACGGTCAGCTGCTTGTCCTTGACAGCAAGACTAGCGCCAGTGTTTACCTTTCGTGTCACAATCCAAACCTTTACACAACATAATGCTTTCGCTGAATACACTCCACCTTGGTATGTATGTCCACAAACAAACACACATGATGAGCTCAGAGTGCATATATTTGAATATTTCTCTTAGCCATTACTCCAGACTTCAGTTCAGTGTCACATGTTTTTCATGTTTACATTCTAATATGCTAATTGGGTGCTATAGAAACATTTCTTACTATTAAAACAGGTGTGCTGCTTAATAATTTGGTGAAAACATATATATATTTATTTATTTATTTATTTAAGATCCTTTAATGAAAGTTTCAAAGAACAGCATTTATTTTAAATAGGAATCTTTTGTGACATTATAAAAGTCTTTACTGTCACATTTGATCTATGCATCCTTGGTGAATAAAAGTTTTGATTTCTTAAAAAAAAAAAAACTTTTGAACAGTAGTCTATAATTCAACAACAACCTTGC